TGTTATCAATAAATAATTTGAGTAATAACTTAAAAAAAAATTTTTTTTTATGATTTTGACATATTGATACTGTGATGATTAATAGAGAAAATAAGAATAAAAACAATTTTAGTAATATTAAATAAGTTTATTACAAAAAAAAATAAGTTTATAATTTTTATTGTTAGTGTTGCCTTTAATAAATGAAAGCATAGCTTTTTATTTTTAGTTTTAATTTTTAAAAACTATATTATTTAAAAATAATTTTTTTTCTAATAAAAACCAGTGATTGTGATTTTGTACTACATCACATGGTAAGTTTATGATTGAAGATGCCTTCCACCCTACAACCAAAAAAAAAACAAAAAAACAAAAAAACAAAAAAATCAAAAAAATCAAAAATCACCATTGTAGAAGGACAGTAACTGTTTTGGCATCCTTAATCCTCTTCCACTGTGTAGAATTTGTGGTCACGTGATGGATGGTTTAGAGAGGGGAAAGAGAGAGACCCAAAGAGACAAAAATCCTGTCCTTCTCACCCCACATGATAATTTCTCTTCTCCTTAGTAAGAGTCCCTTCCCAGCTCTTTACTGCACCCCACCACTGTCTCCATCGTCCTGTATCTTCTTCCCCTGCGGTGTTTGTCACTGGGAACTCAGAGAAACAGAGTAGGGGAGAAAGTGAAAAATCATAGGGAAGCAAAGGACACCTCTTTGCATTTGCAGTGATTTTACTCTTGCAGCTGTTTTAGAGTGAGAGAAAGTTGAAAGAGTGAGAAAAAAAAAGGGTGTTTGTTTGTTGGGTGTGTTTATAACCAAGAAATGCAGCAGCACCTGATGCATATGCAGCCCATGATGGCAGCCTATTACCCCAACAACGTCACTACTGATCACATTCAACAGGTCTTCTCTTCTGTTTCTTTCTCTCTCTTCTTTTCTTTCCTCTTTTTACTGTTTTCCATTTTTACTCTGATCAGTATGTCATGGTATTTCTTATTGTCCTATGCCTTCTCTCTTTTGATTAGCCCAGATTAATGGGTGTTGCAATCTTTTGAGCTAGCTTGTTCCCAGAACAATCTTCTGTAGCTTTGCTTCTGCAAGCTTTTATCTTTTGTTTGTTTTTCATGTATTTTGGTTTGTGGGCATTTGGGAATCTTTTATTTCTATATCTGCTTATCAACTTCAAATGGGTTTGGTGTTGGAGTTTATGTTTTGATTTTGAGGGCTAGATGCTAGGGTTCAACTGTGTTTCCTTCTTTTTTATATTTATTTTTGGGTTTGCACCTTACCATTCTGTAATAAGGAATGCATTTCTTTTCTGCATCTTAGATCATTTTGTAATCCTGCACTTTGAGCCAGTCATTGGCTGCATCTGTCACTCTATCTTATAATTTATTGTTTCTTCCTTTTTGCTTTTGTATTGGATTTAGTATTGATGAATCTGATGATTATTTTAATCTCTTATGTCATTCTTCATTTTTGTTCTTAGCTAAATTTGATTGGATTATGGATAGACCTAGTATGTTTGCTGCCTTTCACAGCCATTTGCAGAGTTGTTGGTCTTTTGCTCGGTTAATTTCTTTAAATAATCATCAATGAAAAAGCATAACTTGTATAGTAGACTTATTATTATTATTGTTATTGTTATCTGTAGTTTATTGTATGTTATAATGTTACAATGATATGTTACAGAAAATTGCTGGTGAAAACATTTTAATTGATCACAATTCACAAAAGAGGTTCACCTTGATGCCAGTGTAATTAGTAATTGTACCTTTTCATCCATTCCATGGATTTCTAAAGTTTAGTCTAAAGTTTAATGCTTTAATATGTAGCGTACAAAAGCAGATTGATTTATTTAAAATCTCCATAAACAATCATAGCTGTTAGTTAGGCTAGTGACATGATGTTAGGCTTCAAGTATGCTGATCATCTGGCAGATCTAGCAATTAATACTAAGACACCAGAAGGATTGGGTATGAACTAGGTAAGATACTCAAGACTCAAGAGGTGTCTGTTCCTTTCTTTTCCTGGCTGTTTGCTGTTTGATCTTGCTTGATGATCCTTATTATGGATATAATTAGGGGGCAACACTGTAAATTGGTCTTATGAATTTTAGAAAGTCCTGGCTTGAAAAGCTATTTCGATATTTCCAATCAACAAAGCAAGTAAGCCAATGAGATACAACTAATTAATGCAGCAAGGTTTGTCGTGTGCTTGACGTCTGTATGAGATGCAGTTCCTTAATAACAATGTAGGTGTGAGCACAAGTTTCTTCGGAAAATATTAATGTCATTGGAATTCTATTATGGTTGGTGACACTGAAAATTTCATTGCCTTGGTTCTACGGGCCCACATGTGCTTGTCTGTTAGTGGTCCACAAACAGGTCATTTTACACTTGGTCATTTGAGTTGTCTTTTGCATGTTTATGTGGTCCTGGATGCTCATTGAATGTGGTCCTTTCTGAATATTGCGTTTCAATGTGATTCCTTGATATGCTTAATGTGTTTCCTTGATATGCTACACTCTTTTGTCATAGAAGTCCTTTTCTACTTACTTCTGAAGCTGACAACATTACATCCTACTAATTAAATTTTGATGAAGCATGTGAAGAAAAATCTTCCATGAATTTGAGTGTGTTCTCATGTATGATGGATATTTATAATTTATCTTGAAACTTGGCTTACATTTTATAGTAATTAGCATCTACAAATATATGCCCTTGCAATTTCAGCTCTTTCAAGGCTGCTTTCATATGGGTGCCAATCAAGGTAATAAATGATATTTGTTCTCCTTCTCCTAAAGTGAACAGCCGTGAGTAGTGGTATGGTCATTGATGATCCAAGATTTAGAACTGAGTTTGACCCTGTTTACAGTGTTTAATTTTTTTTTAAGTTCTATTGTAATTGGCCAAAAAAAAAAGAAGTTTCTGTTGTATGATATGTTGCCATAACAAGAATCTTTCCTTATTCCCTTCTATTAGCGAGTGCTTTCTCACACAGCTCTTGTAGACTAATGCCAGGTAATAAATAATTGGAACACATGCCTATGTGTGGGTCTTTCTATATGTAAGTTTGAAGATTTGTTATATGTTCACAGGCATTTAAACCCATTGATGATTCAAATGAAACTAAATATGAAAGCCTGAATATTTTGCATTTATGATTCAGTACCATCTACCATGGCTAGGTGATAATACATTGATTTACTGAGATTGAGAAATCAGGTGGTTGTCAAGGTGATATTAATTGATCTATGGTTACCGGCTTTAATGGGGATTGAGTAGATTTGTGTGTAGGGGAGTGAGGTTGTGGAGTAGATTCATGCATATCTATGGTATTAACCTGATATTTCATTTTTGATAATCTTCTCTGCATCTAGGAAAGCATGCCTGCATTATTAATATATTAATGATTGAATATGATGCTTATCTGAACCTTTTTTTTTTTAAAAAAAAAAATTCTAATTTCTCTATTTAGTGATTCTGTCAACTAAAAGTTCAGCTTCTTCTTTTATTGATTCCAAACCTAGTGAACAAGGTTAACATCAGCTGTTTTGAAATGTTTGATATTTAATTGAAGTGGTAAATGAGCACAAGGCATCTGTCTCAAATTCTGGTCACTTATTTGTTAATTGTTTATCTGCTTCATTTTTATGCATGCAGTATCTGGATGAGAACAAGTCATTGATCCTGAAGATTGTCGAAAGCCAAAATTCGGGGAAGCTGAGCGAATGTGCAGAGTAAGTGCTAACATTTTACATTCTTGTTTTCATTCATGTGTCTGGTGATTTTGGATTTGTCTGTCTTGGGAGAACTGCTGCAATAGGTTTCCATTTTATTTACATTTTCTGAGGAATGGGCACAAGTCAAGTCTGTACTTTTGAAGTCATGTTTAGACAAAAAGCAAGATAGTTCTATTTGTATCACATTGTGATGCGGAACAGGTTAGGGCTAAGGTAGGCTTAAGGACTTAGAGGCTCATTTGAAGATAGTTTTGGCTATGAATAGGGTGCGTGAATAGTAAAAAGAAGGTTAGGAGTTTAGTTTAGAAGACAAGGAAGAATAAAGAACCCTAGGAATCACACCTAGGCACCCTTAGGAATCACTCCTAAGGTAGATTGCTTCATGCAATCAAGATTGCTTCACACAATCAAGAGCAAACTTGCTGGAAAAATCTGAATATTATTAACTGAATGCATAAAGAAACTTACAAACATTTTTATATATAAGAACTATTAAACTCCTAATAGAACTCTTAATTAGAAGTTGTAATCCAACTAGGACATGACGAAAATTAAATAGTTTTAATAATAATAATAATAATAAACTACTAATAAAAGACTTAATTAAGCTCCCAACTAAGCTTCTCATCATTGGCCATGTGCCAAACTAAAGCATGGCCTTTAGAACCAACTTTGGCTCGCCTTTTGTAAACCTTAGGGGGTTTTTGCCAGCATGCCCCATCATCTCTCCCCTGCTCGAAGAAACTCGACCCTGTCGAGTTAGAAGCATGAAATTGATCATAGAGAGTTGGATTTAATTGTTGAAATTCCTGTTCTGTAATCCATGTGCAATCAGAAAGTGAACGTCCTTTCCACTTGACAAGAAACCTTTGATAACCACCTTCTCTAGTTGAAACTATGTCATGATCAAGAGCATCTTCAATTTCTTCCTTTATGGGTGGGCTGAAAGGAAGATTTGCATTGGTTATGTTTGAGGTGTTGTCATCATGTCCATTGTAGGATGTCAAGTCTTCAATATTAAAGACATTACTGATGCCCATATCATCAGGTAGATCAAGAACATAAGCATTTGAGCTAATTTTCTTAATAATCTTATAAGGTCCAGCACACTGTGAGTGAAGCTTCTTATTTGATCTTCTAGGATATATCTTGGGTCTGATTCTTACCATAACCATGTCTCCTTCCTTAAATTCAGCTTGTTTTCTTTTTATGTCAGCATGTGCTTTGTAGTTCTCATTGCTAGTAGCAATCTTCCTTCGGATATCATCATGAATTTTGTGATTGTGTTTTTACAAAATTGTCTGCTTCCACACTAATACGACTTACCACTAGTAATGGAGTCAAATCAATTGGTTTTCGAGGAAGTATTCCTGTTACAATTTCAAATGGGCTACGACCTGTAGTTCTGTTAACAGAACTGTTATAAGCAAATTCAACCTTTGGGAGAATTTGGTCCCAAGTTTTAACACAATCTCCAACACAACAACGAAGGAGATCACCTAAGCTTCTATTGACAACCTCAGTTTGTCCATCTGTTTGTGGATGAAAAGAGGTTAAAAATTTCAGTTTTGTGCCAAACATTTTCCACAAGGATCGCCAGAAATAGCTCATAAACTTCACATCCCTATCTGAGATAATTGTCTTAGGTAACCCATGTAGGCAAACAACTTCTTTGAAAAAAAGTTTAGCAATATGGATAGCATCATATGTCTTCAAACAAGGAACAAAATGGGCCATTTTTGAGTAGCGATCAACTACCACAAAAATTGAGTCATTTCCCTTCAATGTTTTAGGTAACCCAAGGACAAAATCCATACTTAGGTCTTCCCAAGGCTCATGTGGAATAGGTAGAGGAGTATATAAACCTGTATTCTTCCTTTTTCCCTTGTATATTTGACAAATCCTACACCGAGCTACAACTCTACTTACATCCCTTTTTAAACTTGGCCCGTAGAATCGATCTTCTATCGTAATAATTGTCTTATTTCTTCCAAAGCTTTAGACGCTGCCTCTGTCCAAACAAACTTTCCTTTCTGCATGCAATTAGTAATAGGTGCCATTAGAGTGCTAAAATTTCTTATAAAGCGTTGATAGAATGATGCTAATCCATGGAAACTTCTAATTTCATGTAGAGAAGTAGGAGTTGGCCATTCTTTAATTGCCTTGATTTTATCCGGATCAACTTCAATTCCTTTTGATTATACAACAAAACCCAGAAAAACAACACTTGAACTCATAAAAGAACACTTCTTTAAATTGTTGTAAAGCTTTTCTTGTTGAAGAACTTTCATGACTTGTTGTAGGTGGTAAATATGTTCCTCCTTGCTCTTGCTGAAAATTAGGATATCATCAAAATAGATAACCAGAAATCGATCATTATAGGGCTGAAGTACCTGGTTCATAAATTTCATAAAAGTGCTTGGTGCATTGCTGAGCCCAAATGGCATGACCAACCATTCATAAAGCCGGTCTTTGGTTTTAAAAGCAGTTTTCCATTCATCTCCAGGTCTGATTCTTAATTCGTGATAGCCACTTTTCAAATCAATTTTTGAAAATATAGTAGAGCCAGCCATAGCATCCAACATATCTTCTAGACGAGGAATAGGAAACCTGTGTTTAACAGTAATTTTGTTTATGGCATGACATCAACACACATACACCATGTACCATCTTTCTTTGGGGTAAGAAGTGCTGGAACAAAACAAGGACTGAGACTTTCACGAATAAAACCTTTGGACAATAGCTCATCCACTTGCCTTTTGAGTTCAGCATGCTCACTGGGAGTCATTCTATATGCTGGCAAGTTTGGCAATTGAGATCCTGGTATAAGATCAATTGCATGTTGAATATCTCGTGAGGGAGGTGACTCATTAGGTAACTCTTCTGGTGTGACATCAGAAAATTCTGCCAACAATTTAGTCACCTCATTGGGTAATTGAGTAGCAAATTTTGAGTTCACTTCTTCCATTCTTCTTGCAATAATAGCAAATACCAGCCCAGATTTGCAACTTTCTGCTTGAAATTGTTTCTTAGTTATTATGTGAAGAGATCTGCTTCTGTTTGCAGAAACTTGCTTAGGTTCTGGCAATCTCTTTTCTTCATTCTTCTTAATATCACCAGAAATTTGTTTAGTCTGTGATGGCCTCTTTTCTTCATATTTTTTCATATCAAAAGAGCTCATAGGTCGCAATACAATTTTCTTGCTTCCAACAGAAAATGTATAGGTGTTTTCCCTCCCATCATGATTCACATTCTTATCATAGAGCCAAGGTTGTCCAAGAAGAATGTGTGTGACTTTCATAGGGATAACATCACACAATATAGAATCATTATAAGCACCACAATTGAAAGAAACAAGGCATTGTTGGGTTACTGGAATTGTCATGTTATTAATCCAAGCTACCTTATATGGTTGAGAGTGAGGTTTTGTAGGGAGTTTAAGACGTTCCACTGTTGATGCTGACACAACATTCATGCAACTTCCACTATCGATAATGAGCTTTTTTGCTTGATCACCACAGCAAACCAAAGTTTGGAATATTGAGGTTCGTCACCAATCTTCTTCCTCAACCTTAGGTGCTGCCAAAATACGCCTAACAACTGATAAAAAGGAAGTGTCTTCCTCCTCATCATCTACAAGATCATCAGCCATGTAAACTCCATAATCAAAGGGATTTTCTTGGTAATGTCACCTGCTGTATCTTGTGCCCCTTTTTGGCCTCTCCCATTCCTAGGTGCTGCTGTTATTTGGAGGATTTCTCCTTGGACATTATCTAATTTCTTTGTCACCATCTCCTCTATCTTAGAATCACATTCTGTTTCAAGTGTATCCATCCGTTGTTGTAATTTATTAATCAAGACACGGATTTCCTCCGCATCGGAATTCAGCCTTGTAACTTGTGAATTTAGTTCAGCGTTTGACACCATGATTGAGGAAAAAACTCAACAATAAAGTTGTAGGATCCTTTGCTCTAATACCAATTGATGTGGAACAGGTCAGGGCTAAGGTAGGCTTAAGGACTTAGAGGCTTATTTGAAGATAGTTTTGGCTATGAATAGGGTGCGTGAATAGTAAAAAGAAGGTCAGGAGTTTAGTTTAGAAGACAAGGAAGAATAAAGAACCCTAGGAATCACACCTAGGCACCCTTAGGAATCACTCCTAAGGTATATTGCTTCACGCAATCAAGATTGCTTCACACAATCAAGAGCAAACCTGGTTGAAAAATCTGAATATTATTAACTGAATGAATAAAGAAACTTACAAACATTTATATATATAAGAACTATTAAAACTCCTAATAGAACTCTTAATTAGAAGTTCTAATCCAACTGGGACTTGACAAAAATTAAATAGTTTTAAGAATAATAATAATAATAATAATAATAATA